CAACCAGAGTAAATTGCATTATTTAATGAGCCTTATTGTATTCAAGAAAACTCAAACTCCTTCAGATTGTTGCATACCTCGATTCTGTCGAATCAAGCAATAACCCCAATCTGAACAAGACTGCATGACTTGACGGCATGAATTGAGTGTGTGAGAGATCGTAAAAGACAGGAAAGTCGACTTAACCTTTTTGGAAGAAAAGCGTCGTCTCAGTTCAAAGGACTATCACCGACGAGGTTGGCTTCATTCTACAATAATGCTTTACAATTGGTGCTATGCACTGATTCCGACTTCGAGGCACGTGGAACCCGATCACAGTTCTGCTAGTGAAATGATGCATGACCGCGAAAAAGAGGAATGTTTCAAAATTATTGTTTTAAACCTCGTTTAAATAGGTTTTAATGATTCATATAAGAAAAATTAAGATAAAGTCGAGGTGTTGGTACTACTCAGTGACAATCGCAATGGGTTATAAATGTCGTTCTGCGGAGGGAAAAACAGAATTTTTCTGCTCATTAATATGAGAAGTGGCTACTTTATTCAATTTTCTCCGTCTTCTCTTCATCCAATACTCCCCGCCAAAGAACCTCCGCCTCCTGAGCCATTCTTGAGCTGTGTATCAAAAGGGTGCTTAATTCCTCCTTGCCTAACTTGCCGTCATCATCGACATCCCATTGGGCTAGCACTGCTGATCGCAGATTCTGCAGCTTTGTCTCATCGACATCATCTCCAACCGCTTCAAGTAGATCTTTCAGAAATCCATCAAGCTCTTCATTTTCCAGCATTCCATTTCCGTCACTGTCGTATTTGTGAAAAATGCGCTCAATTTCTCTGGAGGTGAGTCGAGAGGCACTCTTAAAAAGCGGTCTTCGTAGATAGTTCTCACGGACCGGTAGGAGACGAGCCATCTCGCTCAATTGAAGCCGGCCATCTCCATTGGCATCGAAGAGGCGAAGGATGGTCTGTGTGTACTCCTTGAGCTGATGCTCGTCCACACGTCTGTTCACCTTTTCGAGTAAACTAGCCAGAAACTCGGACAACTGGCCCGACTCAATGAAGCCTCGATTTTCGGGATCGTAGGCACGCCAGACACGAATAAACTCGACACTCGAGGAGACCGGATTGTCACGGCTGAAGAGAACAAGAAAAGTCTCATCTGTAGGCAGGATCTGAGCCAACTCCGCCACACTGATTCGTCCATCCTCATCCTCATCGTAGGCCAGCATAATGTCTTTCATCAGTTCTTCCATGGCAGCGGGCGACAAGGCCTGGGCGCCAACAGCAGCATCTGCGTTTGTGTTCACGCTGGCGATAAACTCGTGAAGAAAGCCATCCAATTCTTGGCCCTCGAGGTAGCCACTGTTATCTTTGTCGTAGTGCTTCCAACAAGCCAAAAAGTCTGCTGAAGTTACACGCTTGAAGCCAAGCGTGGCTGGGTCGCGAAACTGGGCCAGGAAGTTTACACAGTTTCCGTCAGCGGCTCGTCCAGCTGATTGGTCCATTGTCGATATTCTGTCCAGTTTTAATACGATGTTTCCCTCGAAATGCCCAAAGCCACTGTCGGATATATGGTTTCCAGGGCGTATTGAGCTGGCCTGGTGACAGCCGGATTGAGCAGAAGAAAGAGGTGAACGCAACTTGTTCTTTATACGAGAAAATCCCAAGGTGGCGTCAGCTGTTGCTGGCCCCTAGTTATTAGCCAATATTACCTTGCTTACTAAATAGACAGATTAAAGGAGCTACCAGCAAGTTATGTGGGTAGGACAGGCAAAAGCTGTCTATATTTAGCGTACAATGACCAAAGTAACGGAAATAATCACTCACTCTACCCAGTAATTCTCTATTTTACAATGCACTTTTTTACAGGACAAAAGCAAATTAGTTTTACAATTACCGAATAATTGATATTGGACATAAGTAGCTAATTAAAATTAAACGTAGATCTTATCGTTGGGACTTTCATTTCGTATTAAAGTGTATGAAGACGAGATTGTAAGGTCGATCCCACCTGGAGAGAACGGTTGAATCCCATTGCACTGCAGCGGGATTACGACGTAGAGATTGATGCAGTCCACGAGACCCCCTCCCTCTTTTTAGGTAAGAACGGACTGAACCTTCGTCTATCATATGATGGAATTTATCAGAGATGGGACTCAGTCCTGTAAAATTAACAAGTTAGCACTAAGAGAATGGGATTCAACCATCCTCGTCTGGTGGGATCGACCTTCGAATCTCTTCTTCATACACTTTCGTACGAAATATAGGTCCCAATA